TTTTTTTTTTTTTATTGAAATGTTTTTCAAAATTTCATTTCTAGACTGCATTTTTTTTCTCTCTTAAAGTTTAATTTAACTAAACCTATTTTCAAATTTCCATTTACAAAATCTGCTCTAAACATTAACGCTGCGTTTTTATCTGGAGCTTCATTTAAAACAAACTTTATTCATTAAATTTAAGACGATGAAAACTAATCATGTTTATTTGGAATTATGGCAGAATAACATTTTCTCCTAAAGTAGAGTTTTGTCAGTTTTTGAAGTAACTGTAACTAAGTAAATGTAACTGTTAGTTCCCACCGGTGAGGAAGAGGAGGATGATGATGGTGTTGCTTTTTTCAGCCTGATTTTCGTTGCTTCGGAAACGCCTTCATCTCAACATGTTTAATTAATAAATGTGTTGAACTGTTAAAAATACCAAACAGCAAAATAATCCCTTCGAACTTTAACCTAAAGTTTAGCAAAAATGTTCTTTAATTTCACAAAAAACAAAACAGAAAAAATAAATCACATAAATTATTCTTAATGTAATTAAAAAGTTTGGATCATTTCTCTGTGGTCAGACTTTAGTATTTAGAAGATTAGGAACATTATTCCGTTCCTATTTGGAGGCACATCTTCCACTAAAATCACTTTTTCTTCTCAGAGATTCATAATTTCTATTTTCAGGTTTTTTGGACGATTCCAGATTAAACCAACTTTCTCACGCCAAAGCGCGGCCTGGCGGCCATTTTATGGCCCTTGGAGGAATTCTAGGCGGCCTTTAAATGGTGTTTAAAAAAGACTAAATAAAAGAAACAATCGAATAAATGAGTGTAATAATTATTATTTTTATTTCAAAAAGAGAGCAAAATAAAACTCCTTCTATAAAAAAGTTTAAGCTTCAACATTTTATTTTAATCTTTTTTTTAGTCATGTTTTTGCGTTCAGATTTTTAAATTATAAACAGGAAAACAAACATCTATTTAATTTTATATTTTTATTTTTTTAATGACAGAACCAACTTAAAGTGGGCGGTTAAGAGAAAAGGAAAAATAAAACAAGGTTTAGTGTTTTCCTTATTGCTGAAAAGACAAACAAAATAAATAAATTCACATTTCTTAGATTTTTTTTCCAGTTGCCTTTCCTAACTGGAGAAATTTACTTGTTAACTTGAAATATTATCTGATTTAGGACTAAAACAAAAAGATTAATGGTTATTAATCAATTATTGAAATAATCTTTAACTAATTTAATATTTGATGAATCGTTAACTTGAGTAGAGAGACTGTAAAACGTGCCTTTAGCTGACAAAATTGTACAAAAATATATAAACATTTTGCATTTAAGATGCAAAAAACATTTTTTATCCATCAGTATGCTCTATCCAGAACACCTAAAGTAGAAGTGATTTGGTTTCACTTCTTTAAATCTGTAAAAAAATCTTCTTTAAGGAAGCGTTTGCTATCAGATTTTAATCGAAAAAATGATCGACAGATTAACAGATTTACAAAATGACCGTTAGTTGCAGCCCTAAACTGATTGGTTGTTTGTTTTAGCAATAGAATAAAATAAAAAAAGGCAAAATATTTGCGCAACTCGGCCGATGCATGAAGTTCTTATATTTTGAATCCTATTATGGCTTCAGATCTGAGAATAACATTAGATTTTTATTTTTGTTTCAGGAAAACATCAAAGTTGTTGCTCAGCCTTAAGTTTATCTCACTTCCAGTCCAACTGTTGATGCTTCAGTTTTAAAATATTCAGTTTTTTTACCTTTAATAAACAACTAAAGGTTGGATCCTGACAGGAAATAGATGTTTGGTAATAGAGCTGCTTGATGAATCGTTTTTAAATGATCAGTCAGTGACGTTCGGAAGGAAAAGGCTGAAACGTTTGACCCGATCACTTCCTGCCTCTGTGTGCTTCCAGGTGCTGGACGGACTGCTGGCTCAGTGTGGGACCGTAGAAAACTGTGAACAAGGTCAGTCTCTCTTCTGCATCTAACATCTCTAGTTCTACTCTATCTACTATAGATCTAGAAGGTCTCTCAGAGCTGTGGCTGTTTTTCTGATGACTCACTAATTAGGAAAATTCTTAGAAAATCTGATGAGTCGTTTCTTCTGTGGGTTTAAATGAAGGCCTGGTGTCTGACGGATGCATTTTCTGACGTGCTTTTATCTATATTTGGTTAAATAGATCAACTCTGATCAGTTTGATTGTTTAGGTTTCTTTAAAGTCCAGCAGCTGTAGAGAAACAGGCTGATAAAACCAGGCAGTAACAGAGTCAGGTTTGACCTGCTGGGATAAAGAAAACCTTAATCCTGGTTTTTAGTTATTTCTCCGTTTGATCGTCCGGATGAAGCCGGTAGCTCTGGAGCTTCTGTCTAACTCGCTTTGTTGCTTTTTGTTTTAGTGAATACAGAGAGCGAGACTGCGGTGGTTAACGTCACATACGCTTCCCGGGAGCACGCCAGACAGTGAGTTATTCTGATGTTTCTGTGATGATGATGAAGATGATGAAGGTAAAACCAACAGCATGTTTGGATCTACAGCAGGAGGAGTCTGGAATCACCAGGCTGCTGTTTACTGGGGGATAAAAAGGCCTCAATGAAAACTGCTCTGCATGGGCGCCTCCTGCGGTGTGTGACTGCCATCTAGTGGCCGTTTCAGGAAGTGCATTAATTCCTTCTGCTTAATGAGAAATCAGAGCTGCCTTGATGAAGGTGATCAGAGCTTAAGGCGGAGGAGCCGTGGTTCCAGATTGGGCAGATTTCTGCCCATTTAGGCCTTTTCCTTTTTTTGAGATTAAATAGGGCTTGAAAAAATATTTTATTGGTTGTTTAAAGGAAAAGTCCAGTCAGCAAGGATAATCAATAAATTATTAGATTATTAGAGACAGTCCAGTTAGATACACAGTAAACAGTCAAACTTAAAATAATTAAACTTGAAAGGTTTTAGTTTTTCTAATTTAATGGAGATAAAATCAGGTAAAAGTGAAAAAAAAAGAGTTATTCCACCTTTCTGATTCCTGATCCTCCACGGACGGGTTGGTCGTTGGATCG